CAGTCGCTGCTTGTAGAGTCGATGATTTGTGCCCACACCATAGATTGTGTCACCTGCATTCCACGGTATCGTGTTCGGTTCATGGAAGCTTCCGCTCATTGAGGCACGCCTCTAATGATAAGGCCTCTGACGCAGCATTTCCCGATCTTTTCCCATTCCGAGCCTTAGGCAAACAGCGAATCCATCAAAGACGCTGCATGTTCACGACGTCTAGTTATCAGGGTAGCAACCATCAAGGTAATTGCAGATATTCGCGATGTTCTCTATCCCTGACACAGACACAAGCACCCGTCAACACGTGGTCCGAGGTGCTCGTGCTCATTGTCCTCAGGGGTTGCTTGTATACGAAGTCATTCGTGCCCGCTGCATAGATACCAATATCGGGCAATTTCGCAGACTCGGTGGGAGATCGCGAAACAAAATAGCATGTCTTGGGTTCATAATTATAACCAGAAACATTAATAATGCTAATGATAATAATAACAACAACAATAATGCATGACGGTTTGGGCTTGATATCTTATATACACTCACCTCACCGAGCTTCGTGTTGTAGTTGTGGTTGCCTATGACCAAGCATTGGACAACGTTACCCAAGCAGGCACCTTCAGATCTCTTTTCGCTTCCTCGCGATACAGCTGAAGTGTCTGTGCAAGGGGGCAATACACGCAATTGCTGATGTCTGGAGACAAGATTGGAAAGTAGTGCGTTCTACCTTAGTCCTCTGCCTCGTGCTCTTTGAGCTCGTGGCTTCGGTTTGACCTTTGACTTGAGCCAAACATTCGCCGGAGAACATCTGATCATGGGATAGCCCAAGGCTGATCACCTTGTCGTTTATGTACTCTTGTACGCGTCTCACAGCCGATCAACATGGATGCCCAAGGCAGCCCATGTGATGACTTCACACCCCCCATGAGTGAAGCTTTCAGCTTTGCTCACGAAAAGAAGAGAGTAGTGGGACCTGAAAAGAAAGAAATCTCAACGGCGATGTTGGTCTGTGGCGTGTAGAAATGCCCAACTAAGCGCTGCGTGAAAACACGACTACGTTGGCTGCGATCCCCGGCTTCGGTGAAAAGTGAAGGGAGCCACTCAAAGAAATATGCGCGAAATGTGGCGCAATGAGTCATGTTCTCATGGCATGGATGTAATCGACGCATGCGACGATGTGCATATAGCCGCTCAATAGTGCCAGCCATCATTGTCGTCGGTTGTAATAGTTGCCATAGGCACGTTGATTGCGTTGCCATCGGTCGCGTCGAGGTTGTTGTGGGGGAGGAGGATTTGCATCAGTCGTTTCGTCACGTTGACGACGTTGGCGACGATGTCGAGCTGCTTCCAGTTCCGCGGCCTCTTCAGTTGTAACAGGTGCATTCATGATCCTGTTGTGTATCTCCGGGATGTTTGCCGACAAATGCGTCAGCGCAGCTGGATTTCTGGAAGTGTGAGCTTGCTGACGGGTGGCAATCATGCGAGTACGGAAAGTAGCCGGTAACTGAATGCCGCTGTCGATCAAGAGGGAAAGTAATTCAACAGGTATATTCTTGGAACCTATCATCTGTGCAATACCGCAAGGGTCAATGCAAAGCACGTGTTCCGTCGATTCACTGGTGCTTGGTCGCATCATTGTGAAGTTGTTGTATCAAGTTGTATCCTGTGACTTTGCCGATGATCTTCTGTAGCAACGAATATAGCAACTCGAATGCATCTGTGGTGCATCGACTGTTTGTCCTGCGCGCATGTGGGTAGCTGGGTTGAACCGCTCTCTTTCATAACCCAATTGCGCGGCTCCTCTCATAATCTTGGAGATCAATTGGTTGGTCCGGAACTTGCGAAGAAGATATGCACCATCTGGGTCTTCGTATTGATGCTGGCTCTGGCCCCAAGCAAGGAGCTCATCGTCGAGCACAACTCGAGAAATCAATGTGTCAGGGTTGACTTCAGAAAGAGCTGGACCCCATCTTCCGAGAGCGTCATAACGGTACCCCTGTGCGAACATCTGTTGCATAGTTTGTAACGGAAGTTCCAACCATTTCATGTTGCCTCTCCAGTTCTTGTGGATGTAGCTGCAAATGGTATAGGCCATGTAGCGTGCCAAGAGCAGATTCGGATCCACCGCGCACGCTTGTTTCACCTGGATGTAGATGGGAACTTGCATGTTAGCCCTGGCGTGCTCCAGATCTTGATCAATGTAATTATGTAATACCCGACGTTACCGATCAGCACGGGAATTCGTGAACTGACAACCTCTGGATCGTCTTCTTCGTCCTCGTCGTCGGTCTCTGGCGCTGGTTCTGGATCTTCGGGCGCTGGTTCTGGAGCGTCCGGAACAAGATCTTCTGTGTCATGCGGCTCGGGTTCGGCAACGGTCTGCCGATCATCTTCTTCCAGTGGATCTTCGTTCGCGGCCATTTCAGCTTGTTCAATGGTGCGAATGATAACATCGCTGGGGACCTCCAAAGGAGCGTCCTCCTGGCGCACGGTACGATGGAACCTTTCAATGGAAAACAAGTCAGTGAAGCACGTAGCACATCGTGAAAGACACGATGGTGTTTGCTGCAGACACCAAGGACAAAGTCGGTATCGAAGTTCATGAGCTCGACGACTTCTCGCGTGTTCCATTGGTTTTGCGTGTTTGATGATGAAGTTGATGGCGTCCATGTAGAGCCTGTCATAGCGTTGCCAATCAGCTGTGCGCCAATCTACGCCAGAGTAGTCTCCAAGTCTCGCCACGTATTCTTCTTTGGTTGCGTCGTGTGGACCATTCGGCATCTCGCACAGCAATTCCATAAGTCTCTCGATTGTCCTGTACGGAGCAAACTCCTTTGCAATCGGTGACGCACTGTACTTGGCGCAGATCTCATCCTCCAACTCGTAATCCAAGATCTTTTCCACGAGATCAAACCTGTATCTGCTCCGATCGTTTGGCACACTTGATCTCACCCTTGTCACCTCATTCCTCACGTCCCACGGCGCGAATACCCCCCATTAACTGTGGAGTCTGCCTGAAGCCTGGCTGTTCTCCATGAGTGATGCCTTCTTCCATGATGTCCTTGAGGTTGTAGCACTCGGTTGCATGGAACGCACCCTGGACGGCATTAGCGAGGGTGTTGCTGATGGACATTGCGAACTTTGATGGATCAATCTCCATGCCTGCAAGCTCTGGTGTCCTTGTCTGTCCACTCGTTGCTGGATTGCCCAAGGCATAACCCAGCCGTCACAAAGTCGTATGTCTTCGTCAGTGAGGTTTCGGGTAGCTGGGGATAGCCGAAGTTCGTGTCGTTGCATAGCCAACGTGACCATCCGGCTGTCGAAAGCCTGTATATCCTCGGCAATAGATGCATTGGGGAGGATCTCCCAAGCGTATCCCCAAGAACTGTAGCCGCACCCGCCTTTTATCAACAGCGATGTAAGTGACGCCGTCGAAGAGCATTTGCAATCGATTGCACAGTTCTTGTCTCCTATCACTCCTATCATCCCTTGAACGGTAGCTGTTGAGTGGTCTGCAGTTCAGCTGTCTCCTTGGATGGCACCACAAAACATCTTGCTGGAGGATGAAGTCCAGTCTGACCCATGCACCTTCATCACAACGGATGATCGGTACGTCAGCCTGCGTTCCTCCCGACGTAGTGTCTCAAATCCTTCTGGATATTTCTCACAGCCTGTTGGCCGAACCATTTGCGATCGCCATCAAGATCTACCGCTGGAGGACAGGGACGTACCCCTCTCCAATCAGGATGACAGAAATGGCAGCCCCGGTCTGGGATCTGGCCCAACAATCCGCAATGGACGTCATCGGACATGCAAACGTAGGACTGCATGGTTGGTGTATCCTTTCCAATGGACGTTCTCGTCCACGTAGGGATACAGCCTTCGATCTCCTCGTTGAGGCATCCACCTGTCCCGGTGTGAAGTGCGCGCTTCAATCCTTTTGCACACTTCGTAGTTGTTTCGCAATCCTATGGCGAAGATGAATTCACAAAAACACATCATGGTCTCCTCTTCGTCGGTTGATGCCGTATCCAAGAACCTGAGGTGAGTCGTACTCAACAATGCGAATGCCAGCGTGTGCCCCATGGGCGCCACGTCTGGGCATAGCCTTTGCCTTCGGACGCCTCGTAGAAGAAGAAGCAATGCTTTCAACGTCAACATCCATCGATGCAGCTGATGCTTGACCTTCACGATCAGGTCGCCTCTCGGTGGTCTCCCCGAAAGGGATAGCACTTCGGGAAATGAGGTAATAGCGTTGGTCATAGCCTCGAAAGCATCACATAGAACCCGCTTCATCTCGGAGTTGCTGTTGCATGCGCGGAATCCATGTTCCGAGCTTCCGCAAAGTACGCATAGGTTCTGAGGCTCTGAGGGTTGTCGGTGTTCACGTCGAATGAGCCGTGAACGAGAAGCCTTGTTGCATCCCAGGCTTTTGCTCTCGCTATCCTCAAGGCGTCGCTCTCACCAACGGTTGCATCTCCTTCTGGTTCTTCATGATCCATGCGAACATCTTCTTGTGGTAGTGTGGAGCTGTCCACGCTTCGCGAAAAGTCATAGTGAATTTCCTCGACTTCATTCTCACCATCCATACCAACACTCCCACGCAGCTGCCGGTCGATTGCGGACGATGGTACTGCAAGGAAGCGGTCATCGCCATTGATGACTGCAATGATCTCCTCGACGTCTCTTTCCACAGCTTCGTCCCTGGTCGGAGGTTTCCTTGTCTTGGGCTGCCTGGCTGCTACCAACTTGACGCTTTCTTTGGCTGAGTACAAGAGAAAACATCTCTCAACGCCGTAGATGCGCGCGTTGATGTCTTGCTGGCTTCCCCATTTCTTGAAAAGGTAGGGGTAGCGAACGCCAAAGGTCAACATCCCCAAAGACAATTCGAAAACATCACCCAGGAGCTCCTCAGCGGGATTCTCGCTGCCTCGGAACAGTTCTTCTCTTTCTTGTGGAGTCAACAACGTCTTCATGAAGCCTGCGTACGCAGCGTTCCCTGCGTCGTAGTACGCGATGAAGCAAAGGTTGTTCTGTGCATCATATGCTCTGTCCCATGCCAGCTGCTTTGCCTTTCCCCACGACGAGTATGCGAGACTAGTCGCGATGGGACATCGAAGGCCGCCGTATGAGGACACCACTTTTCCCACGGACATGTAGACAATAGGACAACACTTCTTGATGTACTCAAGCAAATTGTCGCCTGGCTTCGCGTCCTGAAAGTGCTGGATGTAAAGGTACCTTGCACAAGCTAGAGCATACGTCTCACTGTTTCGAAGATCCTTG